CCATGGATCTGTAATTGGTTTAATTAAATATTTAATTAAAAGCAAAATTGTTTAAGACAGAGTTGGAAGCAATATTCAGAAAGGTTACACATATAGTTCTTTTGAGAATGATGACCATTTCTTAAGACCACTATCTAAAGTAGGCTTAGAAAATACACTTTAAATAGTTACAAGCAACCGACAAACCAAGTGTGGTTTCCAAAATACATGTAATTATCTCTACTGTTTTTTCCTGAATGTTTAGGCAAATAGACTCAGAACACAGAGGACTGGCTTGGCAATGAAGGTAGAATGAGTAAGTGCACGTACAATTAATAAGTGACATACCAGTGTCAAGCAACTGGTGAATCAGGAAATGGGGGTTCAGACCATGTCTGCTTTTATCTGGAACTCATTTCCTTTACACTATTGCATACCATACTGTATTTTGGTTTGTTATTATCAGGAAATAAATTATTTAGTGGGTTTTTCCCACCATTAAAGTTAAAACCTAATTATGAATTTCTGGTTTAAAAAGGCACCTGCTAACAGCCTCTTCCTGCTTCTCACCAAATGACCAGTGATGAAACAAAAGGAAAGATTCAAAATACCCAAAACTGAGACACACATTCAACCTATCTGCAGAATCTGGAGGAATTTCTTCATGCTCAGAAACAGACGGGACTGGATGGAGAAACGTCCTCAGTGGCCGGCCTGTGCCAGGTGCACCTGGATGCAAGGGGGATCGGCCCTTCCTGCTTTCCCACCTCCTGCTCACCCTTAAAAATGCAAGTCGGTACTGACCAGAAGGCAGAGCAGCCAGTACCCCGAACGGGGCTTCACGTTTGAATGCTGCAGTGGGTCCCTCCCCGTTGCTCCCCATTGGAGCTTCTCTATACAGCAGTGCTTGGAAACTGCTGCTCACACAGCCTTGGGCAGGGAGTGGGCCTGTCAGTGGTGTCTCCTCTCTACCCAAAGCAAAACGGAGGAAGGGAGACAAGGGTTTGAGGACGGGCTCCGGTGCAGTGCCCAGGGAGGAATCTCGCTGTTTCTTGTCTCACCCTATTCACAACATCCAAGCTAACTTAAAAAGAGATCTCATCCCAACAAACTGGCAATGCACAGATGCCAGCTCATTCTGGGAAACAGACGTGGAGAAATTCACAGGTAAATCAGTTACAGGTAAATCTGAAAAGTGCTTTCATCAGCACCCAAGTGCACCGACAGTGACAAAACGCCTGCATCTGTATCAGGTCTTTTTTGTAGGGGTGAGTAACCAAAAAAAAAGAAGTCCATATGGAACCTTTTTAAAAGCATTCTTAAGAAACGGGAAAGGAAGACTTTACCTGGAAGATGCTGGAAAATCAAAACTTTGAAAATTATTGTTTTTTTTTGAGACAGAGCCTCACTCTGTCACCCAGGCTGGAGTGCAGCGGCATGATCTCAGCTCACTATAACCTCCGCCTCCCGGATTCAAAGGATTCTCATGCTTCAGCCTCCCTAGTAGCTGGGATTACAGACGTGCACCACCACACCCAGCACATTTTTGTATTTTCAATAGAAACAGGGTTTCACCATGTTGGCCAGACTGATCTCAAACTCCTGACCTTAAATGATCCACCCACCTTGGCTTCCCAAAGTGCTGGGATTACAGGTGTGAGCCACTGTGCCTGGCCAAAAATTATTTTTTAAAAGGAGCAAATTGCTCCTTGTACATTGCAGCAAAATCTATTTTTGTTTTTTTGGAGTTTTTTGTTTGTTTTTTTGTTTTCTTTTTGAGACAGTCTTGCTCCGTTGCCCAGGCTGGAGTGCAGCAACACGATCTTGGCTCACTGTAACCTCTGCCTCCCGGGTTCAAGCGATTCTCCTCCCTCAGCCTCCCAAGTACCTGGGATTACAAGCACCCGCCACCATGCCTGGCTGATTTTTGTATTTTTAGTGAGATGGGATTTCACCATGTTGGCCAGGCTGGTCTCAAACTCCTGACCTCAAATGATCCGCCCGCCTCAGCCTCCCAAAGTGCTGGGATTACAGATGTGAGCCACCGTGCCTGGCCCTCTCTGGAATTCGCAAAGAGATTTGAGAAAACATGGTATTTATGAAGTTGAAAGCCATAAAGAACAAGCAGAAATAAAAAGACAATAGGTCAAGTTAAAAAGGAAGATGGGTAAAATAAATGCAGAGAAACGATAACCACAGTACAATGACCGAAAACATTGTCAGAATCAGAAAAGAAGAAAATCGTCAGGGAAAAACCTGAGAATCTTTCAGAAGGCAGGTTAAAGGGATGCAGTGAGAGCAGATAGCAAGACAGCAGAATGGAGGGCCACACCCTCTGCATTCTGGAATTCCTCAGATGAAGCCAGGGCATTTGCAACAAAAGCAATAACCAGAGATACGTTCTGGTGCACTCCTGTCTTCCCAGGAGCACAAACCAGTGCCTGGCATTTAGCAGGGGCACTGGTGAGTGAATGCTCATCACTGATTTTAGAAACCCTTTTTAAGCTGGAAGAATGGCTGTGCATTCGAAAGGGAATCCCTGATGGTGGCACACAGTGCGAACGTCCCTGCCACGGAACTCTACACATTCAAATGGTGCTGCTTTATGGTAAATTGTGTATCATGTATATTTTACCACAGTTTTTTAAAAAGCAAACAAAAGAATTCTGAATTCCAGATTAAAACATAGTGAAAAGAAACCCTCATGTAGATATATTCTACTTTTTTGAGAGTTTAAATATTTGAGCTTAATTTAAAGTTTAATTGAGTTTAATTAAAATATATGGCATATCCCAAGTTGGGCTTTGCAGAACACTTCTCAGGAACTGTTAGTCGGTGTACCAGGAACTCAGACGGGCCCTGTTATTAAATTTATTTGGGAAATGCATGGAGGTTTTGTAGGTTCACTGTGCATGTGAACGACGCTACAATCGCAAACCAGATTTGGCATTGCATACATGAGCCAGTATTTCCCAGTGTGGAATACTTACTGCTGTTTTTCAGAACCCTGGGAAATAACTAAAAATATTCAGCTGGAAATTACAGGTATAGCTATAAAGGAGCAAGAACTACAGTGACTCCAGAATGCAAGCGTTTATCACTATTAAGAGCCAAAGAATTGAAACGAGTTTTGAGAGGTGAAGACAGAGATGTAAAATGACATTCTCAGATATATGAGGGCTCAGGAAACATCTCAACTTTGTACACTTCTTTAAAAATTGCTAAAAGTATATGTAATTTTGACCAAGAGTCAGAGCAAATGAAACCTCCAAGGGACTTCACAGAATGTGGAGGGGCCATTACTTCTTCCCAGTAACAGCTGAATAAATCATAATAGCAAATTATTTTATTATGAATGTTTTCCCTTATGATGGGAATAAATCCATAAGCCATAGTCCTCTTGGGAAAATTCTCTCCTGTAGTTACAGTTTACCACCAGCTTCTAAAAATCTAATTTAAAGTTCTTAAGAATGTGTAAACGCTGAAAATAACCTAATAAAAGAACTGGTGGATAATGAACAAAATGTTAGTGTGTAGGTTTTGAGATTTAGGCCTTTTTTCTTTTATCTTTTTTCTTCTTTTTCCAATTTTTAAAAACTAGGCAATGTGTTAATTCCAATAATAAAAAATGT